GCGCGTCCCCCCTTTTGCGGCCTCGCTCCCCTCCCCCCCCCCCTTTTTCGGCCGCGCCCTCTGCCCTCTGCCCCCTCCTCTGCACGGTGGCACAGCTCCTGGCATCGCTCGGACGTGTGCATTTTTTCTCGGCGAGGACCCTAGAGGAGCATCCTGGATCATCGAGCAAAAAAAAACACGCACGGAACCGAGAAATGCACGGGAAATGGACGTCCGAGCGACGGCAAGTATTTTTCGGCCGCGTCCTCTGCCCTCTCCCCTCCTCTGCATGGTGGCACAGCTCGCTACAACGGCACCCCCGTTCAGGCAGCTCATCGCCAGCGCAGCTACTCTGCCCGGCCGCCGACGCAGAAAGGTGTTGTGCTCGGTCCTTCGGCCGGCGGGAGGGCCGGCGGAGACCACGGCGGCTGCCCCGCGCGGCCCGGATCCGCTCAGACATGGGCCCCTGGACCCGAGAAGGACGAGCACACGCCGGGGAGGGCCACCGTTGCCCCTCGGCGGCGAGCGACAGGCCTCGGAAAAAATAGCGAACACTCATGCCACATTCGTCTGTGAACGCCTCCCCCTCCCCCCAATGTTCAAAGTTGGCGGTGGGTCTGATGAGTTGCACCTCGACCGCAGTCTCCCCCGCGCGTGCCACCTTTGAGTTTGGGGGGCAGGGGGGGGTGTTCACAAGTTGTTTCTCTCTACCAGGGGGGGGGGAATGAGAAGGAGATGGCCCTCTTAGAATCAGGCGATCGCAAGCACGGATCAGGGGGGCGTGGATCAGCGACGGGTCCCGCTTCCATGGGACATCGCGGGCTTCCGCGGCCGAAGGAGGCGGCACCGGCCGCGTTTTAATCAATGGATCGCTCATCCATGCTTGCGCGCCCCCGACAGAAGGCGGCGGAGCTTCTCAGAAGCCCTCGCGCCTTCTGAGAAATTGGTTCTGTGTCTTCGGGGAAGGCTTCGAAAACTGCTCAGAGGGCCAGGGGACTTCAGAAGCTTCGGAGAGGGCCCGCCCCCTCCCGCTTCCCCCCCTCGCTCGCCGCCGAGCACCGACTGGCCCTCCTCCGAGCCAGACCCCCGGCCGGCAACGAAAACGGCCCGGGGCGAAAGACCGGTCCCGGTGAAGGGGCCCAGGCTCCCGGAGCTCGACGCCAGGAGTAATCACGGCGTCGGAGCTCTGGGCGCGACGGCCCTGCCGCCTTCCAGGGCTGGGCCTCAACGGTGTTTTGGCGATTTCGTGGGCCGTTTTCGTTTCGGCTTCGTTCTGCGGCAGAGGTGGATTGAAGACAAAACGAGGGAAAACGAAAACAAAACGAAAACGAAAAGCACTGTTTAGGTTCAGCCCTGCTGCCTTCCCCCCCTGACGAGTCGCCTGCCCTGTCGCCTCGGCATCCCCGCTCGAGCTCGGCAGCGGCACCACCCGCCGACCACCCGCCTGCAGGGCTCGTGCGCCGGCCTCTCCCGGCATGGGTCGGCGCTCCTCGAGCTGCGTTCGCCAGGGAGGCCTGTGATGCCGAGGGCAACGTTGGCGGGGGGATAGGCAAGGGCGCCCTCGAGGGCGCGAAGTTGTTCGCGCTTCGCGGTTCGGCTCCGATTCCTTCTCATCCTCCCCTTCTCCCCTGGGAGGCGGCGCGAGAGCGCGAAGTTATTCGCACTTCGCACTTCGCGCAGCGCGAAGCGCGAAGTTGGGAGCCCTTGGAGACTTTCGAGGCATTCGGGCGTTTTCCTCTTTTCTCGGCGGTTTTCCAGTCTCGGGATGCTCTCCAGCAGCAGCGCCTCGCCGAGAGCGTTCTGGGGGTGACCAGATCGCCCAGACGGCCGCTGGAGAGCCGAGTGATGACCCGAATCCAGGGGGGCAACGTAAGGAGGAGATAGGCTCCAGGGGGCACGCATCAACCCCCAACCGCCGATGGATCCCCGACGGGGGCCTGCTGGTCCACCCCGCCCACGAGCGTGCCGACTCGCCATCGGGGTCCTGTCGCCGATCCATCTGCGATGGATCGCCGACTGCGGCTGATTGGTTCGCCCCCCGGGCCGGTCCCCCCCTCACGTCGCCCCTCATACGGTAGAAGCTCCGCCGCCTTCTGTCGGGGGCGCGCAAGCATGGATGAGCGATCCATGGATTAAAACGCGGCCGGTGCCGCCTCCTTCGGCGGCGTACCCCCCCAGACCCGCGGGCTTCCGGAGGCCCCCGGCTTGCCCTCCGCCGAGCTTGCCTTCGTCCTGCTTTCGTCTCTGTCCTCATCCTGCTCCTGCTCCTCCCCTCGCCCTCGGCGACGAGGGCGCCGCCCTGACTCCTGACTACCGGGGCCGCGGCCGCGCGGGTGGCTCCCGACAGGCCACCTGCGTCAGCGAGTTGGCCCGAGCTGGTGTGGCGTCGGTGCCTTACGATTGGGGCCCGAGGTCGGCTGCTGGAGCTCCGACGCGGTCCTCTTGCCCTGTTCCGTCTCGCCCCCTGCCTCAGGGGAGGGGGGCGGAAGCGGGGACCGGGTGCCTGCGCGTCGTCGATGTGGGCTCGGGCATGCCGCCTGGACAGCGCAGGTGCGGTCTCGCCTCTCGGGGGCCTGTGGCCGATCTGTCGGCGGTGCGTCGCCGAGTGCGCGCCGATGCCCCCCCCCCGAGCCAGGTCGCCGTCGGAGGGAGGGGAGAGAGGAGGGAGGAGGAGGGAGAGAGGGTGGACGAGCAGGAAGAGTGATGATGAGGAGGAGGTTGGATGAGGAGGAAGGGTGAGGAGGAGGAGGAGGAGGAGAAGGAGGAGTGAGGAGGAGAAGGACGAGGACGAGTAATTAGGAGGAGGAGGAGGAGCAGGAGGAGGAGGAGGGGGAGGGACCACTGTAAACCCAAGACTCAACCGCGATGTTGGAATACACCCTCCCTCGAAGTTCTCTTTTCATATGTCCCTACAAGGGTTCATGTCCACTGAGCGGAGTGCCCCGTTGGGGGACAGCCGCGTGGAAATCCGGAAGCATGCCAAAACACCATTCTCGGGACTTCAGCGCCACGAGTCAACCTGATTGTTGCGTTGCGTCCTGACAATCCTGAATCGTGCCAGACCACCGCGAATCAACGCAACAGTTGCGCCCCGACAATATTGAATTGTTCAAAACACACAGTTCCTGGTACGCTAGCCGTGAGAAGCAGTGAGACTCTTGCAAATGTTTGAAACGAATGTACGCGACGCAAAGGCGAGAGCTACATGTTGAAAAGGAACCTCCATCAATCCGTGAAACTCTTGCACACGAATCAAGCGAACGTGCACGGCGCTTAGGCGAGAGGCACATTTCGAAAAGGAGCCATGCTCAATCCGTGAAGCTCTTGCAATATTCAAAAAGGAATGTGCGCGGCGCCAAGGCGAGAGCCACAGTTTGAAGACCACCAGCCTTCAGTCTAACTCTTGCGAATTTCTCAGAAGAATGCGCGCGGCGCGAAGGAGGGAACAACATATTGGTAGCGGCCCGCCCTCTATGTGTGAAACTGTTGCCAGTGTTTAAGCATCGGGCTCATAAGTGGTAAGGAAGTCTCAGGCGAAACGCCCGGCCCGCCCTTCCGACTGGCCTCGGGGTGCGACAGGGAGGAGCGATTCATAACGAAGAGGAATGGAAGCATGAGGAAGGAGGAGGGGGGGGGAGAAGGAAGGGTGACGAGAGCGGAGGGGGGGAGGAGGATGAGGAGGAGCAGGAGACATGTGGAGAGAGGATGGAGGAGGGGAGGAGGATGATGACGAGGAGGACGACCACAGAGGAGATGCAGCGTCGGCGGCGACCTCCAATCCCAGCTCATATGAAACTATAGTTGCCGAACCTGCTACCCAACTGATGTCCCAATCCTCAGCCCAGAGGACGGATCCGAAGCCCTCCTTTCCCAAGGCCCCGAAGTGCGAGGTCGGGATGGGGGGGGAGAGGAGGGAATAGGGAATCAAAGAGGAAATGGGAGTGAGAGGGAGCGGGATGTGAGATAAAGGAGGGCAGCGGATAGGAACGGTCGGAAGGGGAGGGGCTTGGAACGGCACGGTTGGGGAGTGGAGAGGGGGGGAGGCAAGCTAGGTGCGCAAGCGTCATATCTGACGTCCTACCTTCCATCCCATCCCTTCTCATTGCGTAGATATCCGCTCTTTTCGCACAGTCGAATGTCGAACAGGGCAATGACCCCGAGAGAGAGAGGGAGAGAGAGAGAGAGAGTACGCGATGCATGGTATTGCAGAGCATAGCATGGCATCGCGTCGAGAACGCGACTCGCTTCGACAACAAGGTCTGAGGAAAACCAGAAATGACACAGGACGGGGAATGCAAATGGACGGCTTGGAAAGCTGGAACCGCAACATGAGGCCAGCGCTGCAGCGGGAGCTCGATTTCGAAGGACCGAGACCGCGGAAATGAGACCAGCGCTGCAGTGGGAGCACGATCGGGAAGAACTGGAAGCGCGGAAACGAAGCCAACGCTGCAGCAGGAGCACGATTTGGAAGAACCGAAAAAATGAAGCGATATCAGCGCTACAGCAGGAACATGATTTGGAAGGATTGAGAGCGGGAAAATGGAGCCAACGTTGTAGCGGGAGCGCCATACTGAAAGGATTGAAAAAGCTTGGACGGGGCAAACACATGAATAATCAATTCGGCTGCATCCTTTGTGTAAAAACAATGCGCGCAGCAGCCCAGGGCACCTTACCAGCGTCTTCTGGGGAGAGTAGAAAGTATCGTTCATATTTTGTAACTGTGGAGGGGAGGGGAGGGGAAGGGAGAAGAGGGAAGGAAGGGAAAGGAGGGGAGGAAGGAAGGGGAGGCGAAGACGAGAGAGGGAGGAAGAGGAGGAGGGGAGCGAGGAGGGGCAGTGGAGAGGCACGGGAGACGAGGGGAGAGCAGAGGGGAGGACGTGGTAGTCGGGGAAGGGCCGGAGGCTGGCGGAGGGAGGCGCAGCGGGAGCAGCGGCACTGTCGGCGGGGAGGCGCCGCCGCCGCCCGCGGCCCAGGACGGGGCCGGGAACGCCAAGATATGCGACTTCGGCCTCGCGCAGAACATGGACCTCGCCTCTTCCCGCGCCAGCCCTCCCCTAACCCCGTAAGCCGACCTGCCTGTGGGAGGAGGGGAAGGTACTCATACCTCTGCCCCTCTTTGGGTTTCGCCTCGTGAGAGGCCTCCTTGGAGGCCCTCGCCGCCACCGCCTGGATTCGCCTCGAAGTTTTGGTCTGATCAGAACGCGCACCCAAGGGGGGGGGGGTCTGGGGAGTAGCAGTATCGGTACCTCTGTGTTGTTCCCCGAGCTGGGTTGCTGCTCCAGGGGGGTAGGGGGGGGGGCTTGTGCTCAGGGAGGGCGGCAGCACCCTGACCGCGCCTGCGCGGTGGGTCCTTGCCTTCTCCGTGCGCTTCGGCTTCGGCTTCGGTTTCAGATGCTGTGGGCGGCGGGGGGGCCTCGAAGCGATTTCGGGCCAACTCACCCGAGTCGGCTTTCCGCTTGCACGGGCGCCCCCCCCGCCCCTCTCTCAGGCATCTTTCGTCGGCCCTTGTACCCTCATGGAGTCTCTCTTCAGGGCTCTACGGTCGGGAGCTTTGGCTTCGCGTGTCGCGCCGCCGGTTCTGGCCCATCACGCTGCGGCGCGACACGCTATCCACTTCTCGGTCCACAAGCGTCAACGTCCCGAGCCTTTCCGAGCCTCCCACCCTCCGCTCGCAAAGTAAAGCGTGTCGCCGGGGCCGCCGCCGCCGCGACACGCTAAGCAAAAGTTTCTGACCGTAACAGTGGTGAAAAGTTATATAGTTTGTACCCTGGGGGACGTCTGCAGATTATGTGGGGGTTATGGCTGCAGGTTAAATATCTGCTTTGCATTGCAATTTGGAGTCCGTGGTCCGTAGCCTCCGACACAAGCCCTTGGACCAGGAGGTCTTGGGTAACCAGAGGGCGGCGAGCCTAAGGGCGAAGCCGTGAGGCTAGTCCACCGCTGCGCCATGCCGCAGGTGGGCCCGCTTCTCCCCCGCGCGGTTCATTCACCTGCTGCTCAGCGCTGCGCTCCAAGCTGGACCAGCGAGGGGTGGTGGTGGTTCAGCGGATACTTTTAAGTCGGACCTGTCCCTCTACAGGGGGAATTCTTCACGTTTCGCTTATCCCCACCAGCCCATCTCAAAACAGCAACTCTTGTGAAGCATGCCGACAGTCGTGTTTTTCAGGCGTGTTTCCGCCTGCCCCCGCATATCTCCCCTGTTCCTCCTTCCTCCCGCCTCCTTGTACATCCTCCTTGTGGTGGGAGCGGGAGAAGGACGAGGCGGAGGAGGAGGGAGAGAAAGCGGTGGGAGGCAAGAGGGATTTAGCGGAGACGACGACCACAGCGATGATCCTAACAACGACGACGCACCCGACGACGACGACGATATCGACCGCGACGACGACGACGACCACAACCGCGACGACGACGACGACGACGACGTCGACGACGACGACGACGAAGGCGGCGGCGACGACGACGACGACGACGACGACGACGACGACTGGTGGGAGTCGTTGGGGCCCCTCGTGGGGTGAGTCGTTCGGCCCCATCGTCCTTGTGTGAGTCCTTCGGGCCCCTCTTCCTGGTGTGAGTCGTTCGGGCTCCTCGTGGTGTGAGTCGTTCGGGCCCCTCGTCCTGGTGTGAGCCGTTCGGGCTCCTCGTGGTTTGAGTCGTTCGGGCCTCTCGTCCTGGTGTGAGTCGTTCGGGCCCTTCTTCCTGGTGTGAGTCGTTCGGGCTCTTCGTGGTGTGAGTCGTTCGGGCTCTTCGTCCTGGTGTGAGTCGTTCGGGCTTCTCGTGGTGTGAGTTGTTCGGGCCCCTCGTCCTGGTGTGAGTCGTTCGGGCCCCTCCTCCTGGTGTGACTCGTTCGGGCTCCTCGTGGTGTGAGTCGTTCGGGGCCCTCGTCGTGGTGTGAGTCGTTCGGGCTCCTCGTGGTGTGAGTCGTTCGGGCGCCTCGTCCTGGTGTGAGTCGTTCGGGCCCCTCCTCCTGGTGTGAGTCGTTCGGGCTCTTCGTGGTGTGAGTCGTTCGGGCCCCTCGTCCTGGTGTGAGTCGTTCGGGCTCCTCGTGGTGTGAGGCGTTCGGGCACCTCGTCCTGGTGCGAGTCGTTCGGTCCCCTCGTAGTAGGAGTAGTAGTAGTAGTAGTAGTAGTAGTAGTAGTAGTAGTAGTAGTAGTAGTAGTAGTAGTAGTAGTAGTAGTCGTAGTAGTAGTAGTAGTAGTAGTAGTAGTAGTAGTAGTAGTAGTAGTAGTAGTAGTAGTAGTAGTAGTAGTAGTAGTAGTAGTAGTAGTAGTAGTAGTAGTACTAGTAGTAGTAGTAGTAGTAGTAGTAGTAGTAGGTAGTAGTAGTAGTAGTAGTAGTAGTAGTAGTAGTAGTAGTAGTAGTAGTAGTAGTAGTAGTAGTAGTAGTAGTAGTAGTAGTAGTAGTAGTAGTAGTAGTAGTAGTAGTAGTAGTAGTAGTAGTAGTAGTAGTAGTAGTAGTAGTAGTAGTAGTAGTAGTAGTAGTAGTAGTAGTAGTAGTAGTAGTAGTAGTAGTAGTAGTAGTAGTAGATAAGTAGTAGTAGTAGTAGTAGTAGTAGTAGTAGTAGTAATAGTATGAGTAGTAGTAGTAATAGCAGTAGTAGTGGTAGTATAAGTAGTAGTTGTAGTAGTAGAAGTAGTAGTCTTAGCAGCAGTAGCAGCAGTAGTAGTAGTAGTAGTAGTAGTAGTAGTAGTAGTAGTAGTAGTAGTAGTAGTAGTAGTAGTAGTAGTAGTAGTAGTAGTAGTAGTAGTAGTAGTAGTAGTAGTAGTAGTAGTAGTAGTAGTAGTAGTAGTAGTAGTAGTAGTAGTAGTAGTAGTAGTAGTAGTAGTAGTAGTAGTAGTAGTAGTAGTAGTAGTAGTAGTAGTAGTCGACGTAGTCTTGGAGGCCTCTCTTCTTGAGCCTCTTGGGAGCGTCCGGGGGCCCTCTTGGGCGCCTCTTGGAGCGTCTTGGGGGCCTGTTGGGGCCATCTTTGGGGCGATCGATCACAGATGGGGCGAGCATTTTTGTCAGTACCCCCGTCGGGGCCACGATCCTCGTGAGGGGTGTCGAATTTTAGCCCTCCCAGGGATAGAAAAAGGACCCTCTGACCACCCGCGAAACCCCCTCTCCAGGTCCAGGGGGAGGGGGTAGGGGGAGGGGTAAACCCCTCCCCGAAGGGGAAGAAGGGGGGTTGAGAACAGAGAGAGCTCGCTAAACCACTCACGCCCAAAGGGCTGGTGGGATTTTCAAACGTAGTCAAAAAATAGTCTGGGAACTATTTTTCCCTACCTAGGCTCTGCCTAGAAGGGTTCTTACTCGGTAAGCTTAAAGGGCCGGGCAGTGGGGCCCGCCCCGGGCGGTTCCCCCAGTATCCGCCCCGCGGTTCCCCCAGTGACGTTTCCTTAGCTTCGCGTTGCTTATCTCATCTTAGCTTAGCGTATTTCATAGCTTAGCTTCATCTTAACTCAGCATAGCATAGCATAGCATACCATAGCACAGCGCAGCATAGCATAGCATAGCATAACATCGCATATCATACCATATCATAGCGCAGCTTGGCATAGCATAGCATAGCATAGCATAGCTTAGCTTAGCATAGCTTAGCAGAGTGCAGCATGACATAGCATAGCATGTCATAGCATAGCATAGCATAGCATAGCATAGCATAGCATAGCGCAGCATAGCATGGCGTAGCATTACCTAGCATAGCATAGCAACTAATGCTGCTTTCCTAGGGGCTCCAACTTCTAGGTAGGGTCGCACTGGGGTAATTTGAATATTTCTGGACCATATTGGGGTCTTTTTCGAGTGTTTTTTATTTGTCGTCGAAAATCCCCCTGTAGGGGGACACGCCCGACTTACGGATACTTGGAGGAGCCAGTCGATGCGCCGGGTCCGAGAGCCCCGGCAGGGCTGCCGCGACCCGGGCCGGAGGCCGAGGCCCGCAGGGGCGACGGCTTGGGGTCGGGCGACGGCGCCCTCCCCCCCCCCCTCTCCCCGCCAAGGGGGGAAAGAGGCGGCAGGCCTCACCGGCCACGCCTGGAGGGGCGACGTTCGCCCCGAGGGGTCCTTCGGGACGGGGCACGGGCGAGACGCTGGGGGAAGGCCTCACCGGCCACGCTTGGAGGGGCGACGTTCGCCCCGAGGGGTCCTTCGGGGCAGGGCCCGAGCGAGACGCTAAGGGGGGAAGGGTCGGGCGCGAAGGCGGGCACACAGGGCGCAGCCGCCGCGCAGCCGCGAGCCCCAGGGCCAGCAGAAAAGGGGGCATTCCCAATCCGCCCTGGCCGCCCCTCGGAAAGGGGCCCACGGGCAACGGGGGTGCCCTAGCTTGGTGGCGCGGATGGCTGCCCGCCTGGAGAGGCGGTGCCCCAGCTCCAGCGCGGCCTCTCCACCCCCGAAGCCGGCGACGGCGAGGGCGGAGGACGAAGACGACTAAGGGAATTTCTGGCACTGACCACTGAAGATCAACGGCATGGACAAATGGTTCAGCACCCCAGATCAGACAGGGACCCTCCGGACCGACTGAGGGTAGATCGAGACGAGGGTCGACCGCACGGGGGTCGCCCTATTCGGTCATTGGTGGGGCGCCTCCATCTGCTGCATGTCGATGGTTATGTTCACCGTCATGCTCGGTATGGTGGTGTACTGCGTGAGCACCGTCCTTGGGTCAATGATGAGCATCGTGTGCAGTGTCCAGTGGGCGCTGCAGCAGTTGAGCTGCTACTGCAAGTGGAGACACCAGTGGGTCCGGCTGCCCACCTGCCACCGCCCCTGCCCCCGATCTAGTTACGTTCGCCCCTGTCGAGAAGGCCGGGCGTTGGGGGCGACGACGAGGCCGAGTATTACACCAAGCGGGTGCATGGCCGCAGGACCGGCCGGAGGCCCAACCATTTGCTCCTGCGGAAGAATGGCCAGGTCGCACAGGTGACTTGCAATTTCAGCCTGAAGCTCTGGTTGGGCCGCCACGGTCCGAACGTGAAGATCGGAGAAGTCCTGAGCTGCACCGATCAGGCCTGGAAGAATAATGTAGTCGCGATCGGCACGGTGCACCTGTGCCGCAGCGAGGGATGCAGCGTTGCTTCAGGCTTCTGTCGCACGGGAAGAGACTTGCTCAGCGCGAGGGGGCTGGGTCTCGACTCCGGCCCGAGGGCTCCTAGGAGGGGCGTCGGTTATTGACGACGACGACGACGACGGCGACGGCGACGACGACGACGACGACAATAACGAGGCCGAAGCTCAGCCAGTGGTGATTCGGGGGCTGGGCCGTTCGAGCGAGGGCCGCGTGCGCTGTTCCGTGGCAACCCCTTCGGGGGCGAACGGGCTGGAGCTCTGGGCGACCATGGGGTCGACTGATGCCGAGTGAGGCCAAGGATCGCGCGAGGCGGGTGTTTGGCAAGACGCCTACCTTCTGAGGCCCAGAGGTAGACACCTGCACCACGATCGGCGGTGTGCATCCGCCGAGGGAAGATGATCCCAATCTCGGTGATGGTGGTAATGCTCGGGCTTCCTAGGTTGCTGACACAACCGTCAGCGCATTACGACTCGAGCGCCTGCGCGCATGCCACTGCTGTCCTCCTGTCCGGCCGAGCGCCGTCGGAGGCTGCCCCCCGCGGGCCCCCGCGCCCCCGAGGGAGGCCGCTGGCGCGGGCCTGTCGACAGCTCGCCGTCGCGGCCGCCGCTTCCTCGTGCGCGCACACCTCCGCCCGTCCTCTCCCGCCATCCTCCCCCCCCCCCCACTTGTCCATCTCGCTCCTTCGCTTCTCCTCCGCGCCGCTCTCGGGCTCCTCGCCACCAGGACGACTGGACATGTAAATTGGTGTACGCCCAGGACCATCTTCCCCAGTGGAGGCCCCCCCCCTGTGTGGGCGTTGGTGCTCATTTCCAGGCCTCCAGTACCTCGATATCCGAGCACCCTGCTGCCACGCAGGATGGACTCCTGCACGCTGTTAACGGCGCCCGTTGCGCTTCGACTTGGTCTTCGCGTTGGGATTGGCGGCGCAGAAGACGCTCGCGGGACCCAGCGGGCGGTCCCAAGCCCTTGGGAGCGAGGGCATCACGGTGCTCGACCCCGTCGAGTACTACAAGGACCCCCTCCACGGGAGGGGCCTCCGCCCTGACCATAGACGCGCGCGATCCCGCGGCCCAGGCGAGGTTGCGCTTGGCGGCGTGCTGGCCCGGGGCCGAAAACCGTCAACGTTCGGCGCCTCGGCACCCCGTGCCCCTCGCGCTGCGACTTGGGCCTCATGTCCCAGCCGGGACGCCCGGCCCAAGGATCGCGCGCCGGGGTTGCAGCTGGAAGGGAACGGACGCAGGCGGCCGAGGCGGAAGGCAGTCTCCTCGCGGAGCTCGCCTGCGACCCGTGCCAGGTCTGGCCGAAAATGGGAGGGAGTTCCGGGTGGAGTCATCCCGTATACATGTGCATTATATTCGAATGCTGTGGCCCAAGATGCCCCCCCAGACCCCCCGAAATGGATATTGATGGCGTGACGACGGGGGGGGCGTGAGTGGGCAGAAATATGCGAACCCCAACGCACCGCCTTTATTGAGAGCAAGACTGATGTTGGGGGCGTGGGGGTGATTTAGAATCTCCCTCGACTGTGTAAGGGTTCGAATCTGTTGTCCATCTGCTGTCGCCCCTCTCCGGGCGCTATCGCACCCAGATCTGGCTCCAGCCCGCCCTGGTCGGGCTCCGCCGCCCGACAGGGAGCCACGGTCGTGCCGATGCGCGCGTGCGAGCGGGGCGAGGCAACCCCGGGCGCCCCCGCCGAGCGCTTCCGCAGGGGCAGGTGGTGGCCCATGGTCCCCGCGCCTCTGTCGACGAAGCCTACACCCTCCTGCAGCTGTCCCTGGACACGCTGCTCGGGGTCCGCGCCTCTGTCGACGAAGCCTACACCCTCCTGCAGCTGTCCCTGGACACGCTGCTCGGGGTCAACGGGTCGGCCGTTCCCGCGGCCGAGGCGAACCTAGTAGGCACTACGCGGCACCATGCGTCGTCTTCTGATGACCTGTAAGAGTGACCTGTCGCCAATGAACGGCTTTACAAAGCGGCATCATAAGAGTGCCTATCGACGCGACGGTAGAGGCATGACTTCGCACCGCCACCCGCTGCCGCTGCCAGGCTCTTTGGAGTGGCCATCGGCAGGGACCGCAAAGGTCGACGGGTCGCGGCGGTCGCCCCTAGGATCACCCCTACGGCACCACTGCGGATTGAGGCAACGACTCGGTGACGAGTGGAAACATCGTAAAAGTCTTCTCTCTGCGTGGTTGTTGGACGGGCCCCGTGGGTGCCAGCCACTGCGGCGCTCAGGCCGCTGCGGGTTTCTGTTGATTGTCGTTTTGGGGAGTTTTTGCCAGCGGGGCGTGGGGGTACCGCGTTTTCCACCCAGCCCCGTTTTCACGGGCACCTTCTTCACGGGTGTGCCGCTGGGGCTGCTACTGATCATGTTTCAACGCTGCCGCTTGATGCGGTAAACTAACACGCGGCACCGCATATGTTTCCATATGTTGAGTAGCCATTTCTTTTAGTGGGTCTACTCCAGAGCTAGGGTGCCCCACCAACCAGTGCGGGGGGTCCCCGCGCCTCTGCATGCATGCTCTGCCAGAACGCGAGCAGTACGCAACCGTTTTGGTTTTGTTTTCGCGCACGACGTTTTGAAACGAAGCGAGTCGATTTGAGGATTTCGCCGTTTTCGTTTTTTCCACCGTGTTAAACGACAGCGACGGTTTAAACACAAACGACGTTCTGCTCGCATGATGTGCTCTGCTGCTGGCTCGGCGCTGCCGGGGGGGGGGGGGGGGCGCGACCGCGTGGAGTTCAAGGGCACCGTCGACGGGGGGCACGGGGGCAGCGCATCCCCAGCCCGCAGAGTGGAGGGCACAAGCGCCGAGCAGTCTCCTCGGGCTCCCACCGAGGTCTCTCGCGCGGAGTTGAAGGACACCGTGCCCGGGACGGGGGTCAAAGCCATTGCTATTCCATCGGAAATGCTTGGAAGACTTTTGGATTCTCGCCATCTCGGTGTTTTGATTGAGCCCCGAGGACGGCAAGAGAAGCCCCCCAGAATGGCCCAAGACGACCGAGGAGGCCCCCAAGAGGACCCACAGATGGCCCAAGATGGGGTATACGAGGACGGATGGGGGCACGCGTGTGGGCTGTGTGGGCCCCGCGTCTCTGCCGAGCCCGGGCGCAGGGGCTGCGCGGCGCGCCTCAGCAGTGGGCTGCGCCGCAGCTGAGGCGCCGGCTGGCACCAGCCGGCCACGAAAACGAGAAGCAGTCGCGTGCTGCAGCATCGCCCGTTGCCTCATGCTTCGACCTGTCTGCATCTATCTTGTCAGAGCCCCCCTCTGGGATGATGATGGCCGAGGGGCGCCCTCCGCAAGCGCTGTCGTTTTTCCCGCGACGATTTCTTCGTCAGCGCCTCAACGAATGAGTCTGCCCGTTGTTGCATGCACGCCCCTGCTGGAGGGGCTCTGAGACAAAACGGCGATGGAAGCGAAAGAAGCTGGGGAGAGCGCCGAAACAGCTCCCCGACATGACGCCATCGACGGAGGGGCGCATGATCCACGCGATGCTGTCCGCCCACGAGGCGACGAGCAAGCGGGATCATCCGCCTGCAGTGCAACCGCTGCATCGGCAGGTGGCCTGGCTCGCAGTATGGCGGCGCGCGCTATCCTGGCATTCCGCTGCTCTGCGCCAAGAGGGACGTAGCGAGAACCTTGACGTGGACAGACATCCCGTCGCGCGACGCGGGCGACTCCTGAGCCTCCGTCCCCGGGGGGCCTCATCGGGCTCGAGAGAAACGCGAAGCATGATTCTTACACGTTCACAGTTGGAGCGTGGGCCACTCTCTAAATGTGGCTCTCCTTCTCCTCGGCGTAGCGCACGTCCGTCCTGCGTCTTCTCCCAGCAGCTGTCTGCACGGAGGGAGGGCGGTGTTTGTTTTGCGTGCGGTTCCTCGCACAGCGCCGTGCACGTGCGCACGGACACGCCAACAGTTGCACGGACGGAGGGCGGGTTTCGCAGCATGCGGTCATTCCCCACAGTTGGGGCGTCCAGCAGCCACACGGCGAGGCCCCAGCGAGGCCGCGAACCTGCGAGGAGGGAGGGGAGCAGGGAGGAGGAAGGAGGTTGAGGGAGGAAGGGAGGAGAGAGAGGAGGGGCGGGCGCGGGGCGAGGGCGACGAGGACGAGGGCGGGGGTCGGGCGACGGCGAATAGGGCCGAGGACGCCGACGAGGGCAAGGGGCGAAGACGGCGACGAGGGCGATGTGTTTCGGCGGCGACGCCAGCGAGACGCTGGCCTGGCCTGCTGCCCCGGGCGACCGGCGGCAGGAGCTGAGCGCCACGTCCATCCCCCGCAAGCTCGACGGGGAGGGGGGCTCCCCAAGGCGCCGCGGGCGGTGCGGGGGCGTGTCGGGCGAGAGGGGGGGGATACAGTGAGCACATCAATCAAGCAAGAAGTCAGCCTGCCAGCTGTTGCCCCACGGACTTAGTCTTCTCCCCCGATGGCCCAGGGAGACCCGCAGATGCTCCGGGGCAGCTCAGGACCTGCAAAGATCGGCGCAGAATGCATGAGCTCCAAGATGTCTTCTAGCACGATGCTTCTGCGGTCGTGTCAACTGTAGGAAGAGGAGGGGGGCGCACGACATCTGCTGCGCGCAGCTGGTCGGATGTCTGGGGAAGTCCTGGCGTGCCTCGCTACTCCCCCTCTTGATCTGGTGGCCCTGACCCCGAGGTACATGGCGCCCGAGTGTTACGACGCCATGCACGGGAAGCTGACAGAGAAGGCGCCTGGCCTGCGGCCGAAGACCGCTCCGTGTCCCGATGGCTCTCGCCCGTCTCGCGTCGCCCGCCGGGGGCGAGCGAGGGCCTGAGCACTTCGGTCGGTGCCCGAGTGAGGAGGAGAAGGAGGAGGAGGAGGAGGAGGAGGAGGAGGAGGAGAGAGAGGAGGAGGAGGAGGAGGAGGAGGAGCAGCAGGAGGAGGCAGCATTTGAAGCATTTGCGCACCACAGTGTGCGGGAAGAGAGTACAACGAGGGAGGAGGGTGGGGCATCAATCAGCCGAACGGTTGGCTGACGCCTGAGCTGTACTGAAGCGATCCCAAGAGCCCAAACGATGCGACTCGCTGAGCGCAAGGCCACAAACTTCCACGGGACCAGGAATCGAAACGACAATGTCTCTGGGCTTCTTGTGGGCCGCATCAGAAACACAGTCCGAGGCAGAAAACCGCAGAAGTTTGCCCCAGGTGGAGAGAGCTCCACACCTGAACATCTGTAACGCTTGCCACACGTAGAAATTTGGTGGGCACTGACGCGAGTGGCCCTGTCCCTCTTGGTCCCCAGGCTGGCCCTCTAAGGGACACCCGGGGAGTACTTAGACTTGATGGGGCCGCAACCGCCGCGTCAGCGAGGGCCCTCCGAGAACGCCTCCTGACCAGGGCCGCGATGGAGTCCCGCTGGTCCGTGGCGGGGGCATCAGAGGCAAGGCTGAGAACTGAATTTCGCTCCGACGCCTTGCCAGCAGCTGCATCAGCCGCAGTGTTGCCAGAGGCTTAAAAACATTTCCTGGTCGGAGAGACCGGGGTCGTGTCAGGATCAGCACGGGATGGAGTCCACACGACAGAGATTTCACCCCCGCTTCGGCTCTCAAGAGCCCTGCGAATGCGAAGCCACAGGTCCCCGTCCCGACCGTCACAAATCCGAAACATCCCCCGCTCCCAAACGACAGACAGAGATCTGGGATCTGTAACAAAAAAAGATGGGACCCTTGGAGCCGTCAAAGGCTAAAGCAAAGGCAGTGAGGTCTGATCTGGGCACTGTCTGAGTGCGGCCAGCCAGGCCCGCTGAGACCCTTCCGAGGACCTTAAAGCTCTGTTGATGGATGACTACAGCGCTACAGCGCCGACACCGCACCGTCGACGACGAGGGTCGGAAGGGAAACGCCCCCCTCCCGACCCATCGCCAAACATAACAGTGACCATACCAGGCACACAGCACTCCTCGAGAGAGCGCTCGCAAACTAAAACGGGAGTGGAGGCGCCCTTGTCGTCAGAAAAGACAGGGCCTTTTACTTCTGCCTGTACACTCGCCGCCAAGTCTTTCTTGACGCGCTCCCACTCGCAACTCGGCCCCATCGAGCTCAAGCTCGCTGATATCGAACTGCGGGCCCTCGGCGACTGCGAGGCCTGCCTCCTTTCCTGCTTAGCACAAGCCGCCCCCCATTGTTTCTTGGCCTCGACAGCCGCAAGCAGTGCGCTCTCCTCTTCTGGGCCTGACCTCCCAAAGCCACACCTCAGCCTGGAGCGCGCGCAGGATTCAGGGCTCCAACCATGCTTGGGCACGCCTGCACGCCACGCTTTTTGGTGGCGGCTTTCTCGAGCAGAGGAGCGCGGACGAGAACCCGCGACTGCGAAGATTCGACCTCCCGCAGTCTGGCCTGCATCTTGGTGAACTCCTCGCAGTCCCCGAGCTTCACACGTAAGTGCTCCATCAGACTGGGCGCAACGGCCTCCGACTCAGAGGAGTGTCCACTCCCATTCCCAGAGCCCGCCTGCCAACCCGAACGAACCCACGGGTGCCCCTCGAAGCCCGTGGAAGCTTAGGACGACTTGGCTGCAGCACCTCTCGCCCATGGAGGCGCCACCGCTTTTATGTCATGCTCACCTTTGTCGTGGTGATGGTCCTTGGTGGCAGGCGGACCGTGCGCCCACTTACCTTGCGGCCGCCTTTGAGGAGCGGGGTTGACCGCCCGCGCCGCCGAGCAACCGTAGCACCGATCGTTGGACTAGAAGTTCCACTGGTACCGGCCTGATTTGCACACTACATACTGCTGGTTCATCCCACCCATTCGTCAGTGCACAACGAACGACCAGCCAGGGCGAACAGGCAGAATGAAGGACGTTGAACCCCAGGGCGGACCAGGGAACAGCTCGAGTCAAGGCGAACTGACCGAAGATAGAAAGCAAACCGCGGACTAGCGGTATCCCCTGGATTCAGTGAGAACCTCAAAACTTTGAGCCAACGTGGCTACGGAGTGAGGAGGAGGAGGAGGAAGAGGAGGAGGACAAGGGCGAAGAGGAGGACGAGGAGGACGAGGACGGGGACGAGGAGGACGAGGACGAGGACGAGGACGAGGAGGAGGAGGAGGAGGACAAGGGCGAGGAGAAGGATTCCGTATATATTTTGGCTCAAGCCAATCTTTCCCGAGGCAGCTGGCCGGCTCAGCCTCGCTATTTTTAACGATCCTTGGGCACACTGAGCAGGACTCCTCAGGTCCTCCGCACAGGCCACGTTTTCTCCCCCCCCCCGCCCCCACGGGGCACATACTACACCCAGCCTGAAGACACCTCTTGGGCCGTCTGGAGGCCGTCTTGCGCGTCTTCGGGCAATATTTTGGTGACCCGGGCCCTCTTGGACCGTGTCGGAGGCCTCCCGGGGCCCGTCTTAGGGCCCTCTTGGGTTCCGACAAAATCATTCGGGAAGCCGCGACGCGCCCCGGCAGATTTGAGAATTTGTTTATCCAGGCCCCTTGGTGCGGATCCACTCAAGACTGAGGACGAAGATTCCAGAGGACCTGAGGACACTCCAACTCGTGCCTCAGGGCACGGTGGCGGATATACGTCAAGCCGGCCAGCTCAAGTGTCCTCCAAGCTTGGGGAAAGAAAAGATGGGAGATTTGCCGAGAACGCTGTAGGCTTCAGTCAGAAAAGTACTGGAGAACGCGGCTGCTTGCAAGAGTGAGCAGGGGATTGCCCTCGTGAGGAGGCGGAGGAGGAGGAGGAGGAGGAGAAGGAGGAGCAGGGAGAGAGAGGAGCGCGCGGGCCGTTTTCCGATGGCCTCGTGGCCCGAAACGCGGGCACCCAGAGGTCCACGAGTTTGGAAGGGCGGCCATCGTGATCTGCTCATCATTCTGGAGGTCTCGAGGAGAAACTGGTCAGAGCAGGTCGCCCCAAGTCGCCATGAACCAAACGGATGTTGAGGGAAAGGGGCCTTCGAATTTGTTCACCGCTTTTGGCCGACATGGGCCCTCCACGGGCCCGGGACTGTTGACCTCTGTTGACAAAACCACTCAGGATTCCACCCTGGCCTTGTGTTTTTGTTCCCATCGTACTTAAGGACCACATCCCAGGCATGATTTCGAGCACCCAGAGAAGTGTCGAAACCGTGTCTGCCCGCACGCTGGCGAAGCGTCGAATGAGTATCGCCTCCATGGCCCCCAGTTTGTGTACGTTCCTGGTGATCGAAATTCTTTCTGGCGGCCAAGGATGAAGTAGGTTTGAGCATCATGGCCCCGGCCCCAAGGAGAGCTCCGGGATCAGCCAGGTCGATCCGGACACGGTGTTCCAGTTGCGACCAGCCGTGGCGACGAGGGGACCCCTGGAGGGCAGATAAGGAGGACTCGTCGTCGTCGTCATCGTTGTCGTCGACCCCTCCTGGTGTCGATCCCGACCTGGGAGTTTTTAGGCGGGTCCATCCGTTGATGACGAGAAGCCTGCTGGCGGCACCAAAGAATACCAAGACATCCGAAGCCTCCGATCTCCGAACCTCGATCCTCGACGACTGCTACGACGACGACGACCACGACGACCACGACGACGACGACCACGACGACAACGACCACGACCACGACCACGACCACGACCACGATGGCGGCGGCGGCGTCGGCGGCGGCGTCCGCGGTGGCGGCGGCGACGGCGACGGCGGCGGCGGCGGGGACGGCGGCGGCGGCGGCGACGGCGACGGCGACGGCGGGGCGACGACTCCGTGTAGGGCGCTCCAGACAGAGCCTCGCGCTCGAGGGGCCGAGACGTTGGCGTCTCGTCAACGGCGGAAGGCCAGCGGAAGCTGGCTCAGTCAAAACGGTGGCGGTCCCGCCCGCGGAAGGCTGGCGGAAGCAAAGGTGAGACGTCAACAAATTTGTGTTGGGTTCAGGGCTTCTGCAGTCGGCTAGGTCGTTTGGTCGGCCCAGGAGCGCATGAACTCGGCGAAGGAGTTCGGTGTATAGACGCCTCAGCATCCCACAGGTTGGGAAGCTTGGGCGTCTGTGCTCCGAGCTCCTCGGCTGACCAGACACGACCTCGTCCGAGCCGCTCGCATCTTCGAGCCTCGATCCGCGACGACGACGATGACGACCCGGCTGCACACGAGAGTGGCCCCTCGCGGGAGCGACCAGCGGTGCGCGGCTCCGGGGAGGCGCCAAGGGGCCGAGACCTGGCACGCGGGCCGCGAAGCTGTCGCTTTGCACGCAGCGAGCGGCAGGAGCCGCACTCCACAGGGGCCACGCCTGCCCCGGGGCCACCGCGCGCGGGCAGCCGAGCGACGGCGCCAGGTGGACATCTGGGCCCTCGGCTGCATCTTCATCGAGCTCTTCGGCGGCGTGCTGCCGTACGCCGACTGCGGCACCATGGCGCAGCTCTCTGGGCGCATCCTGGTGGAGAAGCGCCCGCCGGAGCTGCCGCCGACGGCGGGCGACGGGCAGGGCCCCGCAGGAGCACCGCACGCTTGTGTTGGATGCGAGGGGGTGGTGATTTTTAGTTTGTTGTTCAATCGCGGCGCGTTTTCTGCGTTTTGGCCTCCAGGGGCTGGTTGGCCCCGGGGCCATGAAGCATTCATTGATCTTGGACGGTATAGTGACCCCAGGGGGGTGGGGCTCTGTAAGCCGATGCTTCTCTCCACTGTTTGCTGTTCTCCTCGCCCCTTGGGACGGCAGAGGCCCATTCCGCCAGCCAGGGCTTGACGAGAGCTCCGACGCATTGGCGCCACTGCCCCGATCGGCCTTCCAAGTGGCAGCGAGTGTGTGTCATCATCCGTGCGCCACTGCAAGACCACGAGAGAGCGGCACAGATGCCGACACCCCTCTCATGTTCGCCGTGTCGGGCTTCCTCGAAGGCCACTGTCGCCACGGCCCCAGATCCGCCTCGGGATCCCGGTCGGACCGCACCCTCGGGGAGGTCCGGGGGAGCAGCGGTGTCGGTACGGCAGGCTCGCGCCGTGTCGACGCCGCGGCGACCCCAGCGCGGGCGTTCGAGGCTGAGCGGCACCCGTGCCCCAGAATCGGCCGACACCGAAGGATCCGCGCTGTCGGAAAGCCGCGGCCGTCCAGCGTTGGGCGACCCACGAGGCGTTGGAAGCCAGCGCCTGCAGAGTCACGGCACGAGCGCGCCGCTGAGTTGTGCACCCCCCGTGGACGGGGGCACTGGCAGGGGGGATAGGCTCGGGGGGCAAGACGTCGACCCCCAGGCGCCCACTTGTCGCCAGTCGGGGCCTGGGCGCCCCACTCCGGACTGGACCGGGCTGGACTGGATTGGGCGTGGGTTGGGTTGTGCTCGGGTTGGGATGGGCTGCGGTAGAGGGAAGCAAGTAGTGAGCACCCCCCCTGCCCCCCAAACTCAAAGTTGGCACGCGCGGGGGAGACTGCGGTCGAGGTGCAGCTCGTCAGGCCCACCGCCAACTTTGAACATTGGGGGAGGCGTTCACAGATGAATGTGGCATGAGTGTTCGCTATTTTTGTTCCGAGGCGTGTAGGCTGGTCTAGACTGGACTGGGCTCGGCTGGTCTGCACGGGGGCGCTGACAGCGGAATGCCTTCAGCCAGAACGTCCCCAGGCGATGTTGATGTTGATGATGCTGATGATGATGATGATGATGGTGGTGGTGATGATGATGGTGATGGTGTTGGTGATGGTGATGGTGATGGTGATGATGCTGATGCTGATGCTGATGATGCTGATGATGATGGTGATTTCGATACTCTGCTCTACAAGCCTCTTCAACAAATGCATCGAAACGCCGTTCAAAATCGAAACGCCCGATTGATCGGGCACTTTTCAGAAAACGCGTCCTTCAATGTTGTGGGGGGCACTGCCACATTTCGGACACCCCAGCGTGTAGGCCAAACGCCTCATGACAGCATTGAAGTAGCGACGACCGCGCAAGCGCCTGAAGCAAAAACCGTCAACTTATGTTTGACGAGTCTTGTATGTAGTCTACCCTACTCCACCCTACTTCACTCCACCCTACTACACCCTACTCGACACTTTTCTACCGGACTCTACTCTACCATCTCCCCTCGTCTAATGTGTTCTGCTCGACCTTAGTCTACTCGACCCTACCCTAACCTGTTTTATTATGTAATCGTATACCCTCGCAGTTCCCTGCTCTAACATTTATCCTCACTGCGCTACTCGGCTCAACTCTACGCTACCTTACTCTACTCTGCTCTACGCTACTCGTCACTACTCGACCCTTCTCTACTCCACTACGCTACTCTACCCTACTTTACTTTATCCTCTCTATATACGCTACTCGAGCATACCCGACTCTGCCGTACCATCCACCCTGTTCTACGTTGATCTACTCTACCCTATTCTATTATAGTTGCCCTAACTCTATTCCTACGCCACTCTACTATAACCCATTCCTACTCGACTCTGCTAAATCCCACTCCTGCCCTGATCTACTGTGATATGTTCTCCTCTACTCTACCCGACTCTAGCTGACAAGCCAATGTGGATAATAGAGGACGCCGTGCGGATCGTCTGGACGAGCCTTCACATACTCTTTTATACTCCTACTCTACTCTACTGAACTCCTACCCTACTCGACTTCTACTATGCCCTCTTGTGCTCTACTCTAGCAGATGGAACGATGCGGATAACCTCGACTCTACTCCCACTCTACTCTACTCTAGTCTACTTGTACGCTTCGCTTCCACGCTACGCTCCTCTTCTCCTAGTACATTATGCTGCAATCGATTCTCCCTTACTCCGACTTTATCCTAGCAGACGAAGCCATGGTGATAGCAGAGGAAGCCATGCGGACATTTCGGACGAAAGTATGCGCATAGCAGAAGAAGCCGTGCGGGTAGTGGGGCGAATGCCAGGGCAACATAGAGGGGGGGGGAAGTGGACCAGTGCTCCGGGGGTTTATGCTAGGACTCCTACAGGCAAGCCTATGTGGAGAAGCAGCATCACGTCGGGTGTACAGGCCCTCCTACCCCGCCCACCAGGTGCAAGGCGCGCACCTGTCTCAATACCCAGAAGCGCCAGCACCGCTTCTTCTTGTCAGTATGGGAGGAAGGGCTGAGCCCGCTTGATCTATCGACCTGGGTGGCTTCACTTCTTTTTCGTCTTCTTCTTCTGTTTCTTCTTTGTCTTATTCTTCTTCTTCTTCTTATTATTACATTGCCGTGGCAAAAGTATTATGCGGTCTTCATTCAACATGACTCAAGACTGACGGAGCAAACGGAGTGGGTGGAGTAGAAATTACTCCGCGTGGACATGCATCCCGTCCCGTTTTTCATACAGGAATGGGCGGAGTAATTTCCGATCCTGTTTTGAGGTAACAATGTTATTACTTAGAGGTAGACGAATTACTCCGCGGGATCGCGGAGGACGCATGTCAATGTTAGGAATCTTCAGAGGGATAGGAGATTCCAACATATCTTGAAACCGCATAATCTTTTGTCACGGCGGTGTATTATTATTATTACTACTATTATTAGTATTATCGTTATTATGATTATTATTAGTATAATTATTCCCTCCTCCTTCGCATCCTCCTCCTACTTCCCTTCTCCTCCCTCCTTCGCATCCTCTCCTGTCTGCCTCAGGAGGAGGGGGCGGAGGGAGAAGCGAGGTGGGAGGTGGACAGGTGGCGTTTGTTCGCGCATGCCCCGCGCTAAACGTATCCATGCGAGCGCGTATCCACGGGGCCGCGCCCTTCAATTCAGACCGCGAGGGCGCGAATGTGGATACAGTCAAACAGGATCATAAGGACGCGCGGAAGAACGCAAGGGTCTTGGACGCCCAAGTTGAATGTTTTGAGCGGCGCCAGACGGGCCGAAGAGGCTGAGGAACCGCCGAAGAGGCGAGGACGCAAGGGCACCCCAGGACATCTATTTCTCCTTATGATGCGCAAGACATCCAATGCTTTGATTTTGTTCAATACGGGGTCCCCGGAAGTCCAGACCCTTTCCCAGGTGCCGTTTTTTCATCCCGGGCCGTTTTTTCGGCCCCAGGGCCGGCGAGAGCCCCCAGAATTCGAATACCACGGCCAACAACAAAAAAACGTAGTGTTTTTTTTTGAGCGACGCGACTATGTCGTCTGGGGCGGATTGATTGTGCCCCAGATGGGATCCGAGTAGATGGGGTCGGAGGATCGCGCCGCATCGCCGATGCATCGGGAATGCAACTTGATGTGGTGCCCGACTTTCTGCATGCTGGCGTTGCCGATTCATCGCCGACGTCGCCGATGCATCGTCGATGCAGTGCCGATGTATTGGCGATACATCGACAGTACGGCACGAGCCTCCGACCCCATCTACTCGAACCCCATTCGGGAGGCCTCTACGGTCGGGAACTTTTGGGTACCGTGTCGCTCCGCTGGTCATGGACCACCACGCTTGGGCGAGACACGCTATCCATTTACCGGTCCCCCAGCGTCAGCGTCCCGAGTCTCTCCTATCTTCCGTCCCCGCAGAGCGAAGCGACACGCTATCCGTTTGCAGGGCAGAGCGTGTCGCCAGGACCGCCGCAGCGACGTGCTAAGCAAAAGTTCCCGACCGTAGGGAGGCTGGAGGCCTCTGTGTGCGCGCGCCGATTGTGGCGATTCTGCTCGAGACGCCAGGCGCGTGGGCCGAGGCAGCGGCAGCCGCGCCTCACCGCCCGCACGGCTGCCCATCGAAGAATAGTATGATAACCTTTTGTGATTTGCACGAGATGTTCTTCGAACATTTCTGGCTGAGACCGTCTTTGCTTCACACATCGGCCTTGTATGTTCCAATTATACATATCGGGACGGTCGGTCCCTGCTCAACAGGTCCAAGCGGCGCGAAGAAAAGTCGAGACGGCCACTTGTTCATGGGTAAGACCACTCTGGACGAACATCTGGTTTCCGGGATAGTGGCATGATTTCCGAGGCCGACATCGCGAATAAATTGCAATATTGGAGGGGAGGGGAGGTGCCGCCGCCCTTGGCCATGCTGACGCGGAGGTGCCTGACATTCGACGCGCCCAGGCGCGGGAAGGGGCAGCGGGGTTGGGGGCAGCTGTGCATTGGGACCCGCTCCTAGCTGGGCCCATACGGGGCCAGGGGTCGTTGCGCGCCGTGTGCGTGTGCGTGTGCGTATGCGTCTGCGTGTGCGTGTGCGCGTGTGTGCGTGTGTGCGTGTGTGCGCCGTGTGCGCCGTGTGCGTGTGTGCGTGTGTGCGTGTGTGCGTGTGCGCGTGTGTGCGTGTGTGCGCGTGTGCGTGTGTGCGTGTGTGCGTGTGTGCGTGTGTGCGTGTGTGCGTGTGTGCGTGTGTGCGTGTGTGCGTGTGTGTGCGTGCGTGTGTGGCGTGCGTGTGTGCGTGTGCGTGTGTGTGTGTGTGTGTGTGTGTGTGTGTGTGTGTGCGTGTGTGCGTGTGTGCGTGTGTGCGTGCGTGCGTGTGTGCGTGTGTGCGTGTGTGCGTGGGTGCGTGTGTGCGTGTGTGCGTGTGTGTGTGTGTGTGCGTGGGTGTGTGCGTGCGTGCGTGCGTGTGTGCGTGCGTGTGTGTGTGTGTGTCAGTGTGTGTGTGTGTGCGTGTGATGTTCAGGCCTGTTTTCAGAGGCTCAGGCCTCCCGAGTCGTCGCGACGGCAGGCCGTGCTCAAAGGAAGTTTCGCTCGGGTGGTCGCAGGCAGAACATCGTGCTGAATCAGAATAGCTTGGAGTTGAGTGGTCTTGTCTCTTTTATCTTCCTCCTGCTCTGCTGTCTTGTCTGTTCTTTTCTGAAGTTCGAGGATTTTGAGGATCTGACGACAGTGGAGTAAGAGGAGGAGGAGGAGGACTGCCACAGCTTTGAGTATCGTGACCAGTACTTCTCTTCACTATCGTGTGACCGCGCCAGCGTGGATTGGCCGTGGAACTCTACGACCTTGCACCACCGGCGCCCTCCATAACACATCCATATCCATATTTCTCCCTCAGCTGATGTCGATTGAGCACAACCAAGAACGCAAGCTCAGATATTGGCTTCGAACGAGGCAGCCTTTGTCAGACCTCGGAGGCCGATGCGGTGATTTAAAGTGTCTGACCCGTCTCACCTTCCTGAACGATGATGTTGCAACACGTTTACCAGTCCATCATTCTTTATTTTTCGACAACTTCCTAGCCGATGTTCATGTGTATTCCAGGCCGTCTGGTTATCTCTTACCTGGCAGTTGCTGATCGACCGACCGAATCCAACGTGCATCTCCGCTGGGCCACATTCATGGAGAGTATCTACGACGCGTTTCTAATCCGACAACGATGATGGCACCTCTAGGATGGGAACTGTACGCCAGTATCACGGTTGCCTACACTCTTGTGTCACTTCGTGCTGATAGTGCCCGTGGTCGAAAGTATGTTTGGCGGGCCCTTCGCTGTCTCAATGTGTTGCTTGATCGCCAGCGAAAAGCACTGATACGAAAAGGTGATGCTGATATCCACACAGTTGTTTCCACATGTATTCTTATACATATGCAGACCTCGGCTCTGCATGGTTGCATCTCTCGTGCTGCCATCCCGCGCAGTGTCGTTTACCAGCTGGTTTTCAAGGCTAGGTAGATCGGCCAGACATGCCAATTTCGGACCCTCGGGTGCAACGCTGGATTTGCGAGTCGTTTCCGTGAGCACGGTCGTGATTGGGCTCGTGCGTTATCTGGTGCCCGAGGACCCCAGGATACCCGATATCACAGTCTGATTGGCAAGGATGGTCGCAGCCGTTTCTATATTCTGGCGATAGATGATGTTCCAACCTTTGAGATCTATGCGATGGAGTCTGCGTGCGTTAGTTTACATCGCCCCGAGGCAAACGACGTTCTTGTTCCTGTTCGCCGTCGCCGTCGAAACCCCGTACCCAGGGGCGTCGAAGGAAAAAAAGGTCGAACCGCCAAGTCAGGAAATCTAGCCCTCAACGATTTTATGGATACTTCTGACGCATGGCACTCATGCGTGTTAGATTGTCCCGTGTCGCAACATGTTTACCGACAGCGTTATCTAGGAAGTCGTTTTACACGACGCTACCAGTTCAAGTTGGTGTACCAAGTCTGCCAGCAGGCCCTCCTTAAAAACACAGGCACCCTGGGGCCCATCGATTTGCGCCAGCCCGGTTACCTTCCGTTGTTGATCAAGTTCTTGGTCTTACAACCTCAGAAGATGAATTGGAATAGAGCCGCTCGGCAACGCGCTCTTCCTGGCGATTGTCCTGTCATTGTCTGGAGCTTCTGTGCCGTAATACCGCGCTATCATGATCGGTTGCGAGCTCGCGCGCATCTTAGCGCGCACTGTCGGGGCCGTGGCCGCCTTCTCCCTCGGCCGAATTACCTCCATGGTCCCTCGACAGAATTCCTCGCTCCTGTTCGAGATTGGCGCGAAGACGCGCTTCGGACCGCGGAGACAACACGACCGCAGCGGTCAGCTCTGATGCGAAAAGTGATTCACATTTCCCTGGCTCCGCCTCAGCCTCTCAAGAGACCGTTCAGTGCGTGTATGCTTTTCGGTTTCACGACCTAGCCGATGTCCATCCTCGGTTGCTTGAGCGCGTAGCATCTGGCCAAGATGTTGGACGGCTCACCCTCGCAGGCCGCGCCCCCCGTGAGGGCGCCGAGAGGGGGCCCCGTCGCCAGGCGCATGCTAGGCGTGGCCAGTGGCTTCGTCAATTCAGTTTCTCTGAGGTCCAACTTCACCATCTCACCCGTCCTTTTCCTCAAAGTCTCCAGTTCCAGGCAACTTTAAAGCGTTTCTCAAGATGTACTTCGGCGGTTGTCTCAGAGGCTCGGTATTGGGATTTCTGTCAGCGTTACGGTTGAGGCTAAGGACCCCAACGCCCTCTGGGCCATGGCCCCCTTCTATATGATGGTCCGATGGATGCACCCATTGAGCCGCGTACCGCGTAGGTGGAACATATTACATGCCCCATCAATCCCAGGTGGTGTCTTGGCATCGCGCGCTCTTGGATTTCACGATTCTCAAAAAGCTTTTTCGTGGACGTTCCCAAATCTCCTTTGCTACGCCCCCCTACGTCTACCCCGCGATTATGTTCAAATGCTGGACCCCCTCTGGAAAACGTCGCTGCCCCGACCCAAACCGCTCCTGCTTCGGGAACATTTGCTCGTTCGCGCGCGTTCCAGGCACGGGGCCTTCAACATGTCATGAAATATCTTACCCCTGGATGGGGCCCATGCGGCATGAGTCGAGCTTTTCCTCTTCAGGCCGATCGGGCTTCACGTTTGCGACGGCCGACGCGCAGCGCAGACGCCGGTTGCTATCGCTGTCTTCGTCGTGGTCGGGCCATGCCCTACCCGACTGTCCTCGTTGCCGATGCCGGTCAGGCACGTGGGGACCTTGACGCGGGTGCGATATACACAGCAGCTCGAGAACTCTTCGATCGCGCGCCAGAGGTCACGAAAGCACACGCAGTCACCATAACAGGCACGGACACAGAACCTGACGCACGATGGAGAGGATACTACAGCATAACATGCAGTGATCGCACCATCTTTTCTATGCACTCAATGCGCAGGGCTGCGCGCGGCACCCTCGGCATGCGCGATGTTTTCTTGCAGCAGCTTCAGGGCGTTCCGATTGGAGGCCCGCTCTCAGGCCTGCATCCTCGAGCTCGTGCTCAGCCGCTGCGAGGCGATGTATAACGCGGCCAACCCTGTGCGTGCACGCCATATAGCTACTGGCCGCGATGTGGGCGATCTCATCATGCTGTCTCGAACCCTTTGTCGAGAGCACGCTCGGAAAATCACAGTGAATGTTTACAAAGACGTCGTTTTCAAGGTCGACGAGAAGTTCGATTTCGTGAATGACGAGACTGTCGCCCAAACGTTTCTCGATGCCAGGATCCATTTCAATTCCCATGGATTTTGCTTCGCCCAGCGCATGAAAATCAGCGATATGCCTGGACAGGTGACCCCGTGGACATCGCCAAGTCGCCCATCCCCCCGCGTACCTTTTATTCGAATCGGGAAACCCTTAACCGACATCGGGCTGAACTTCGGGGCAGGGTCCCTCGCGGGCGCAGTATCTCTAATCATCTAGCCATCCGCTTATACATGATCGTGAATGACATCATGTTGTACATCCATGTTGGGCACCCCTTCAAGTTCATCTAAAAGCTCTGGGCTCGTATACAGCCTCCCTCGGAAGTCCAGGATCTAGCACTTATGGCCCCACGATTGCTCGCCCAAGCGTATCCCCCTTCAAAATCCTGCACCTCCCGAGCGCTCAATCATCATGCGCTTAATTGTTCTCTGGCCCGAGCCCTTTTTTCGACGGGCCTCTGGAGCGCGACCTCACGGTTGCCATTCGCGCCTACTCCCGCCCGCGCCTGCCTGGGGCACTGCGATGGGCAAGCCATGGCAGAAGGGCGGTCAGCATTCGAACAACGGGAAGGGAGGCCAGCACAACCGCAACGCGCGTAGTTCTCAGCCCCGTCAGGGCGGAGGTTTTGCCGCGATGGCCGACCAGCTCAATGACATGATGTGGAATTTTGCGGGCCTTGGTCAGATGGCCAGCTTGGTAGTGCTCTCGCCAGTGCTCAGTCGCAGTATACTCCTGCTGCTCCGCACCCTGCACCAGCTGCTAACGCGGGCCCTCCCGTGGGCGCTTCTACCCAGGAGCTGGCGGCGGCGTTCGCCACGGTGATCAAAGCCGCCCACCCCGCGGCCCCACCTCAGACCCTGGCGGCTTCACCGCAGTCGCCAGGACCACGTGGTGACTCTAGGCTGACAGAGACGGCGAAGGAGCTCTCGGAGCTTGTCAGGCAAAGCCAGCCCGCGACAGCGTCGCCATCGTCTTCGGCTCCGCCATCATCGCCGGTTGCTGCTTCTGGCTTTGACCTCGAGTCGCAGCCCGAGTTCAAGAAGCTGCGACAGGACTTCGACAACCTCAGTGCCGAGCAAGCCCGCCAGGAGGATGCCATCAGTTCCTTTCGATGCACCGCAGCCCAGGCGGGCTCTGACGTGCGAGAGTTGATGAACGTGTTCAAGTCCCAGGATGCCCAATCCCGCGA